TCTTGGAGCTCTGAGCTGAAAGTCTCTCGATGCGGTCTTGCGTGAGCCGAAAATCGTCAGTTGAAGAACTCATGCTGCTTCCATACGCTTTTGAATCATGCTTGCATCTGAGGGCCTTGCTGGAAGCCTTCCATGGGAGATCTTGGAGCATTTGGGGGCTCGGTGGGCTGTCATTAGATAGGTCTCGGGCGTCGTGCAGTCGTGTTGGGGCGGTCACTGGCTGTCCTGGAATCGTCTAGAGGCCGAGGGCTCCTGGGAGGAAAGCTGAGGGGGGCGGCGGTTTTCGGAGCTCGGCTGCTTGCTAGTCGGGACGGGGGGGCGGGGACGGCCCTTGAAAGTTACAGATGCCCTGCGTACCAGACAGCAAACAAGTAATCTAACACGCACCAATATCGCGCCAGCGCGGTGGCGAGTTGGGCCCTTCAGAAGGGCGAGCAGCTTCCCAGGGACGCCTTCGCGGAGCTGCTCCCGTTCGCGAGGAAGCCGACGCTCAGCCTCTGGGAGTTGGCCACGACACCGGCCCTTTGGTTCAACTGGAAGTCGGTGCTGGGTTGACCTGGGGCCAGGGTCCCAAGCAAATGCATAGGGGAGCTCCGTCCCCCGCGTTTCGGGGGCGGCCAAGAGGAGCGGGGGGGACGACAAGGGGTGGGTGGGTAAGTATCATGGACGTGGCCATGATGTCGCCCAACATTCTATGGCCCCATCGTTTCTGTTGTTCGGCACGGCCCTGGCCTCCCCCCCTCGTCCGCGCAGATGCCAGGGGCCGTGAGTTGCTGACCCCCCTCTTGGACGCCCCCGGGCTCTGCTCCTCGAGATGTCCGACCCTCGGGGACAACGTCAGGGAGGGATTCCGGAGGGAACAAAAACACGCAGACACAATTCATCGTCGCTTCCCCCAGAAAAGATGGGGAACTATGGGAAGTCGGGGGGAAGACAAAGACCCAGACAATGTGGGAAGATATGGGGGAGCTGGTTATTTGTGTCTATTTACCTGTGTGTCCCTGGGCCCCTCCTGGCCTCAGGAGGGGACGCATCAATCCCCAATCGCCCACTGATCACCGGCAGAGGCCAGATGGCCCGCCCTGCCCAGGCTCGGGAGCCTTGAGACGGGGGCCAATGCAAACGGGAGTCCGCCAGAGCGCCGAATCTCGCAGGATCCTGCAGCTCCAGGGTCGCATTGACCCGGGTCTGGGCGCAGGATGCTGCAGGATCCTGCAGGATCCTTCGCATTGACCCGGGCTTGGGTGCAGGACCTTGCAGGATCCTGCAAGGCCTGACTGGCCCGGGCCTGGATTGACCCGGGTCAGAAGATCCCCGAGACCCTGCCCAGGAGCGTGCGGATCCGTTACGGCAGCGGCATTGCAGAAGGAACGGGGCCCAGACCCTGGCGCATTCCTTTTTGCTTCAAAGCGAGGTGGGTGGCCGACGTTCGGCCGCCCCTCCGTCGCAAGACCCTGGGTTCCTTATCGAAGGCATCCTGATCTAAAACCTCCAGCGTATCGGGGGCCGATCTATCGGCGATGTGTCGCCGATTCCACTTCGATGTCCCCTCCCCGAGCAGGTCACCGGCCGGCTCTCGGGTTCCGGCGGCCGCTCGGGACGGCCCGGGCACCCCTGGAGCGCTCTCGGCGAGGCGTAGCCTTACGTCGGGCCTGTCCCTCTGCAGGGGGAACATTCAAAAATAACCGCATGCCGATGATAATAAAGGGACCCCCCCCTTCAGTGTTTAGAGTTGATTATCGTCGCCCTATACAAAATTCAAATTGGGCGTCGAGCGCTGAGGCCGAACTTCATTATCACCTCGAAACGCTATGTTGAGATAGCAACATCAAGCGATGTTGGTATAATTAGCAACATCAAGCGAAGCGATCACACTTTTTCAGGATGTGTCAAGCGAAACCAATGTATGTATGTATCCCCGCGCGCGCCTGAACTTTTTTATCTCTGGGGTTGATTATCCATGGAAAGGGGAGCACATGAGCTACCCTACATGAGCACTTAAAAACATCAATGTTCATAAAGCGCTTGTAAATTAAAATTGATAGATTTGGAACTTTCCATTTTTCCGTTATTCTTCTCTTCTTCTTCTTCTCTTCTTCTTCTCTTCTTATTATTATTATACTTTCCTCTTCTTCTTTTATATTTATATCTGTCCTCACGCTCGCCTGATTTGGTTTATCCCTGGGGTTGATTATCCATGGAAAATGAAGCACATGAGCTACCCTACACGAGCACTTAAACAAATCAATTTTCATAAAGCGTTTGTAAATTAAAATTGATAGATTTGGAACTTTGGATTTTTCCTTTCTTCGTCCTCTTCTTAATCTCCTCTTCTTCTTCTTTCTTATTATTCTTCTACTGTATTATTCTTCTTTTATATTTCTCTCTGTCCCCACGCTCGCCTGAACTTTTCTATCTCTGGGGTTGATTATCCATGGAATTTGAGGCACATGAGCTACCCTACACGAGCACTTACAAAAAACAATTTTCATAAAGCGCTTGTAAATAAAATCTAATATATTTGAAACTCGAGATTTTCACAAAACGTGCTCGGCTTGGTCTCCTCTTTATCATCTCTTACTTCGAGATTATGCTGAGGTCTGCTGGGCTACTTTTATTATCTCTCCCTGAACCCTGAACCCCGAACTTTATTATCCCCTAGTGTTTATTCTCACGGGCATGAGGTTAGTCGAAATATCGCACGGGGGCGATTTTTGATCATGTGTGAGCACCCTGGGGTACCTTTGTTGGTGCTTCCTATCTCTCGTCCAGAACAAATCCGCCTGCAGGGGGACACGCCCGACCAGAGCGCAGCCGCCGGAAGGCACCCCCCGCGGCTGGAAAGCCGCCCAGGACCAGCGCAGGCGCTCGAACATCTCGAGCTCCGAGCCCTCGAGCCTCCCCCGCCCCGCTCGCTGCCCCCGCGCACCGCTTCGCGGTGTGGCGCGCGGGGCCTCGTCCGTGCCCTGGCACATCGCGGCGCGGAGGAGGAGGAGGAGGAGGAGGAGGAAGGAGGAGGAAGAAGGAGGAAGGAGGGGGAGGAGGAGGAGGAGGAGGAGGAGGAGGAGGAGGAGGAGGAGGAGGAGGAGGGAGTAGGGTGGGGGAGAGGAATAAAGAAAAGAGATAAAGAAAAGAAGACAGAGGAAATGGGGAAATAAAGAAATGGAAAAAAGGGAAAATGAGAGAAGAGAAAGAAACGAGGGAGGGAGAAAATCACACCCGGAGGCGGGTGGCGGAGGCTTCTGCTGCCGCTCGTTGCTTAGGCTTCTTGCGGCGAGGATTCGGAGGAGTGTCTGCTGGAGCCATCTCTGTTTCGGGGAAGCGTAAGACTCGGGTGGGCCAGAACTCGGGTTTGCCGAGGTGTTTTGGCGAGCGCGCCCCGGATTTTGGCGGTCCAGGTTTCGTGGGAAGTTTGCAGCGGGAGCTCGCGTCAGATTTCAGGTTGGGTCTCGTCATGTGTATGATGGCCCCGTGGGGCCCAACCCGAGTCCCCCCAACCCGAGTCTTACGTCTCCCCAACTGTTGTTTTAGGCGAGCATTCGTTCATAGCCACTGCCTGCACTGCTCCGGGAAGTAGTGGTTTGATGATTGGTGTGCTCGTTCTTGTTGCCGTCGGTCTTTTACCCTTGGTAGTCTTCAGGGGCCTCGTCTCGGGCCCAGGGGCCGTGAGAAGCGGAGCCGGGATGAGCAGCCGCCCCCAGGGAAGTCTCAGATCGATTTTCCGATACGACTTGCCAAGGTTACATTACTTCTCCAGGGGGGTGCAGGAGACCGAGTTTCTGGGGCCTCGGCGGGCGCTGAACATGGATCTCTTCGGGCACTGGGAGCCATACATATTTATATATATATAAATAAAAATATATAATTATCCATATCCACCGCCTGCCGAGCCCCTCGAAGCTCGATCCCACAGGTGACGGCTATGGACAAATCTCTATGTTTCCGTTTTTCTTTCGCATCGATGCTCGAGTCGCTCGAGTCTTGGCGTTGGCCTTGCCAGATTTTCCTGCAGCGCGGATCAGATGCGGCGCAGCGTAGGGTGGCAGAGCGCAAGCAGTCCACATGGCCCTCCTCACACGACCCAGCTCGCGCACATCTCCTCCATCTCGTCATCCTCATCCCGGTTCCCTCCCTCCTCCACTTTACCCCTCCTCCACTTCATACCCTTCCTCCACTTCATTCCCTTCCTCCTCCTCATCCTCCTCCTCCTCCTCCTCCTCCTCCTCCTCCTACTCCTCCTCCACTTCTTACACGATGACAAGATGATGGGCTGTCGGTGAGCATGGGCAGCAGACCTCAGGGGTGGTGCCAATCTATTTCGGCGGTCGCGTTTTTTTTCTTCTTTTTCTGCTGCTCCTCTTTTTTTTCCTCTTTTTTTTATTACTTCTCCTTCTTTTTCCCCTTCCTCTTCCCCTCCCTCCTTCTTAATAATCTATTATCCTCTCCTTCTTCTTCCCCTCCCCTCCCCCTGTGGCGAGGGCGTCGAGTAGGGGATCCTCTTCCTCCCCATGCTTCCCCTCCCCCCGCGCCTCCTGCCTCCCCCCCCCGCCCGCTCCCCATCCTCCGCCGCCCGGCGGCCACTGCCTCCACACATGCCCACCCCCTGGGCGGGCCGTCGTCTCCCTCCCCAGGGGAGGCGCGCACGGAACTGTGGGCGGCTCTCTTCGGCTTCTCTCTCTTCTCTCCGCTCA